CAATTCTTTTTGCTTGGTTAAGTCCAAGGCACCCAATAGGACATAAAATACTTATAGTATCCTCCAAGACTTCCAAAACAACCTACCCTTTCTTGAGGTGTGGGGCCACTTTTCTTCCCCTCCAGTTTATCCTCCTGATAGCTTAAAACATTTCATAGGTATCTCATTTCTGTATAACCCATATCACGTTTTGCTAGGTTCATGGGCACACCAACCTTGGGAGTTCACTGCACAGAGTACTATAAATTACAGTATTAACCAGATACACTTCACAGAACTTTCTTCATTATGCAATAACCTGTTCCCACAAGCATTGGACGGTTGGAGTGGCATCATGCAGACCAACATTTCCCAACATTGACAAACTGAATGTGAGTGTTCACATCCCAGAATTCTCAGCAATGGCTATGCTAGCTGTGGAATTCTGGGAGTTGAAGTCCATATACCTGGAAATTGCTACAGTTGGGAAACCCTGTAGATCAAGTGGCATCTTCACAAAATAAAATACTTTCTTCAGCATTATAGCATCCAAAGGGACTTGCCAATTACAGTGCATTCAATCAAGGGTTGAAAAATACCTATATCTGTTTAACTTACATAGCAAATCAACTATGGACACAGGATAACTGTCAAATTTCATGACATGATTTTACTTACTTAGGTCCACAAAATCTAACTTCCCCCTTAGCTTTTGGCATCAAGAAAATATTCCAGTCTTTGAGAGTGTCAACTTCAAAACGTGCCCTGCTGTCACAGCCATCTTTTCGTTTCTCAGCTTGCCACTGACTATTTGGGGGGTGGGGACAGGGGCGCAGAGGTTTGGAATGCTAGCCCAGATAACAAGAAGAAATCATCCTTTGGGAACCAAGGTCATCTCAAGAGATGTTTGGCAATAGTTGCCATAGACACCAGAACACCTCATTGGACAATGTGACCTGGTCAAAGGGGAGGAAAGAATTCATTTTTAATTAGGTGAAAACAGTGGGAACTACAGTAGTGTTAATTTTGCTTCATGTGTGCCGAAATATACTCAATGAAGTTATACTTAAAGAGATCTGATCGTTGCAACTTGCTGTATTGGTTGGGCTTGTCAGTTGGAACCTTGACATTAAACCAACTCTCATTCTTGAACTTTTAACTATCAAGTAACCTCTTTGGGGTCCTGAGCCCTGGCATCCTACTCAGTCTCCTTCAGGAGGACTGCAAAGACTCGGGGAAGAGCACTTAGATGGAGCACAAAGGAGAGTCAGTGGCAAAGCCCGGAGTGATGGAGGTCCTGGGAAAGGCCCAAGGTGATTTCGGAGGCCAGGCAATGGCAGCCCGCCCAAAAGCCCAAGCAGAGGAGGCCAAGTGACAGGCAGTGCAAGAAGCCATGGCAATTGGGGACCTTTGCCAGGCAGAAGAGGAGGTCTGGCAGAGGAGAGTACTGAAAGCAATTGAGGCTGAGTTCCCACTGATTTCTCCTCTGACTTCATTTGCCCAAGCACTGAAGTGGAGAGCGAGGAGAGCAGTGGAATGGGACAAACCCAGGGAGTGGAGATACCAGACTGCCTGCTGCAGCTCATCAATGGAGCAGCTGAGGGAGAAGCTTCTCTACCTGCAAGTGTGCAGAGCAGAACCAGTGTGGAGGATGGAGCCATTGGCCAAGGCCGTGGTCCAACCAGCCCTCTAGCCCCCACATCGGAGCCCAAGCCCAGCTGCAGCAGGGGCAGCCAGCCCCCCATTAAGACCTGTGCCATCAACTAGCCCTGCTTCAAGGCAGGGCCCTGCAAGACACCACTGGGCTGAGCTCACCTGCAGGCACTGCTCTTCAGGCACCACCCCAACTGGGGTGGGGTGGTGACCAACCATAGCCTTACCCACCTGGGCCAGGTTGGTTCCCTGGATATTGGGGGTCTCCACCTCCCCGCATGGATCCTCCACTGATAAAGACCATGTTTGATGGGAGCCTGGAGAAGCTGGCTTTCTTCCTGAACCAGGTGTGGGCACACCTAGGCAGGTACACCCTAGCCTACTCTGAAGTGTCAATAGTGAATGCCATCACTGCCAACCTTGAAGGGGGAAGCAGCAGAATGGGTGATGGGTCTCCATGATGAGAGGTTCCTGAACTGGGAAACATCATTTTCCTCGCAGAGTTTAGAGCCAGGTTCAACTATAAGACCCAGCTCTGGAAAGCTGAAGGTACAAACCCTCAGGCAATGGAACTGACCAGTGGCAGAATACATCCATAAGTTCTGGAGAATCGCCAGGGGCCAATAGCAGTGCCTGCTGAGAAGGAGACCAACACCCACACCGGTGGCCGCCTCCTAAAGCACCCCCAGGTGTGAAGCCAGCTTCTGCTTCCAGTGTGGCCAACAGGGCCACAAGGCAGCCGAGTGCCTGGCACCTGTTCCTCCAACCTCACCAAGGGCTCCCACCCTTGCCACGCCAAAGAAGCCATAAAAGGGGTGAGAGAAGTCAAGTGTGGTGCACCAGGTCATAGAGGTCTCCTCCCACAGCAGTGAAGGGGAGGGAACTCCAACTGAGAGGAACAGCAGCCAAGCCTCTCTAGAGCGAAGGCAACCTGATGGTAAGTGGAACCATCAGCCCCTTGTTGATCCCAGTGAAGATCATGGTGCCAAAATCAGGAGACCAGGGAGATTTAGAAGCGCTCATAGATTCAGGCTGCACCCAATGTTTGATGAGTCTGTAAATGGTGCTGAAGCTGGAGATACAAATGAAGAGGCTATCCCAGCCTATGAAATTCAAGCAGGTGGTTGGCTCACTGATAGGGGGCTTCCTAGCAATGCACATAATAGAACCTGTGCAGCTAGATAGGGCAGCACCAAGAGACTATCCAGTTTGTGGTGGCACCAAAGATGACGGAGACAGTAATACTAGGGCTGTCCTGGTTAGACAAGTGGGACCCTACCATATGATGGTGAAAAGGGGAGGTGGGTGATCATGGGTGGAGCCCCCCCTCCTTCAGCAAGGAAACCTAGTGGAAAGTCAAAGCAAGAGAGCTGGAGAGGGGAAGCCCGAGCACTTGTAGGTTGCATTTGAGTAGCCTCCAGGGACTCTGCCCATCCCCAAAGATGACACAGACGGGGGAGGCGTTCAGCAAGAAGGAATGTGACATCCTATCCCCTCCCCCACCTGCACTATTGAGACCCTGCCAGGAGCAAAACTCCCTAAGCCAAAGATGTACTACATGACCCCCAAGAGATGGAGGAACTGAGGAATTACACTGACAAAAACCTAGCCAGAGGTTTCATTCAGTTGGCCAAGTCCCATGTGACGGCCCTGGTGCTATTTAAGGATGATCACTGAGGCGATGCATGGACTTTAGGGGAATAAATGGGGTGTGTATGGAGAACAGGTACCCCCTTTCCCTTATGAAGGACATATTGGGCCACCTGGCCAAGGGGAAGATCTTTACCAAACTAGACTTGAGAGAGGCATACTACAGGGTGAAAATCAAAGAGGGTGACAAGTGGAAAACTGCCTTCAACTGCCCATTAGGAAGCTACCAATTTAAAGTAATGCTGGTTGAGCTCCAGGGAGTCCCACCAGTATCCATGCAGCTAATGAGGTGCTACATGACCACTATACAAAGGGCTCATAGTGTATTTTGATGACATCTTCACATCTTTACATGGAGACAATGGAGGAGCACATAAAATTAGTGTGCCAAGTCCTGAAGAAACCACTGAAGGCAAACCTGTATGCCAAACTATCCAAATGTGAGTTCCACAGGACCAGCTTGGCTGCCTGGGCTACCGAGTGTTATGCAATGAAATAGAAATGGACCCAGGGAAAAGGAAAGCCACATTAAGATGGCAAGCCCCCTGGACCCGTAAGCAGCTAGAGCTTCCTAGGGTTTGCAAACTTTTACAGGCAATTTTTCCCCTTCTTTGCAAAGAATGATCACAGAGCTGTTAAAAACAGGAGGGGGAGGAAAGCCCCGACTGAGTCAGCCGCTAAATTGGATGATGGAGTGCCAAGCAGCTTTTGAGGAAGTGAAAACTGTTTGCAGAGGAACCCGTCCTAAAACTCCCAGCAGCCTTTTGTCATCCAAGCTGATGCCAGCGATGTGGCTGTGGCGGCAGTGCTCCTTCGGAAAAAGAGGGAAAGCTGCAGCCGTGCACTTACACCTCCTGAAAACTCACCAAGACTGAGAGGTGCTGGGCAGTGTGGAAGGAAGCTTTCACTGTGAGGTGGGCATTACTAACTTGGTGGCAATTCCTTGAAGGAAGTGCCTTTTGAGGTGTTGACTGAACATAAAAATGCTGAAAACCCTCCGAAAGCTCTCCCCAAAGCAAGTCTGATAGGCACAGAACTTTAATTTATTCGACTTTGAAGTACGTCCCAGAGAAAAAATTTCTAGCCAATGAGCTATCCTGCATGCCACAGTACAAAAGTAAACTGAGAAGTTGTAAATTCAATCATCTCCCCAAAGTAGCGGGTAGCATAAGCAACCACAAGGCAACAGGCAAAGAAGTTGCCAGACCCCAGCAGTGAGCTGACTCAATAGATGAAAGAGGAGTTACAGTAGGATAACTGGTTCGGAGTCCATGGGAATAAAGTAACATTGGCATGGAAGGGGTACAAGCTGTATGTTCCCAAAAGCCTACAAGTCCAAGTCCTGCAACGGAGCCAGGACACCAAGCAAGCTGGCCACTTCAGGTTCTTAAAGACTCTGCATTTGGTTAAGAGACAGTTCTGGTGGCCAGAGATGAAGAAAGACACGGAGCTTACATGAAAAGTTGCACAGTGTGTGTGGCAGTGAAAAAAAAAGACCAGGGAAGAGCCCAGACTTGCTGCAACAAGTGGTGGAGCCAACCTGGCCCTGGGAAGAGATCACAATGGATTTCATAGTCAAACTCCCAGAGAGTGGGGGAAATACTGTGATTTGGACAGTAATAGACTTATTTTCCAAGCAAGCTTACTTCATCACAAGTTCAAATTTCCTTCCAAAAAGGGTCCAGTCACAATACAGTTAAAACTATCTCACCTATTTGTTCCACTGCAGTTTATTTAAGCCAATGGTGGGTCTGAACCAAGATCAGTGGCTAGGATTACCCCAGGCCTCATCATAGTGGGGAGAAGGGAGGGTGCCATTGGGAGAAACATTACAAAGTTAAACAGATTCTGGATTCCAGACGATACACGGGAAAACTCCAATACCTAGTCTAGGTACTCAATGTCAGAATCCAATGGATAAAAGCACAGAACATGAGAGTAGATAAATCAGTACAGAAATTTCACAAGAAATATCCCCAGAAGCCAAGGAACACCTGAAATATCTAATGTGTGCTTATTTTCGAGGTGCTGACTTTCTAGGGGGTCTGACTGTCAACTTCAAAATGTGCCCTGCTGTTGCTGTCTTTTCATTTCTCTGTTTGCCACAGACTATTGGGGGGGAAGGTTTGGAATGTTAGCCCAAACAAATCATCCCATGGAAACCAAGGTAATCTTAAAAGACGTTTGGCAATAGCTTGAAGGAGTGGCCATAGAGACCAAAACAATTAATTGGACAATGTGACCTGGTCAAAGGTGGGAAGGAAAGAATTCATTCTTTAATTAGCCCCAAACTGGGAACTAGCTAGAGTTGGGTTTGCTTCATGCGTGCCGAAATGATGTACTCAATGAAGTTATGCTTAAAGAGATCTGATTGTCTTGACTTGCTGGCTTGGTTGGGCTCGTCAGTTGGAACCTTGACAGAGGGTTCAAAATCACCAAATTCCACTGTGTATTGAGTCTCCTTTCTCCAGGGTGCTTCTCATCTGTTCAAGGATATAATTCTTTTTCCTACTGGGTATTCCAATGCTGATCAAGTATTCAATAAAAATAATGACCCCCATTTTACTGCTGATAGGCTTTCACAGCTAGCATTAATCAAGGAGTGATGAACTTTCAGGCTGAATGGCTGTGATCTAGTTTTCTGCTGACCTGATGTTTCACCAGCAGCTGTGGCTGGCCTCTTCAGGAGCATAGTGAGCTCATCATTCTTTGGTCCTTGATTTGTCTGTGAACACACTATTGTGCTTCTTTAAGAATCTCTCCAGACTTGCCTTTCCACTCTGATCTGGTTCTATTTGGATTTTAGGGTGATCCTTGCCTGGGCTAAGGAAAAAAATGTGCAAGACGACAAGCTAATTTCATTTAGCCAGCTTCTCTCTCAAAATGATAAGAAATATCTGGAGCTGCCTCCACATTGCCTTGATCCTTCACCAAGAGCAACAATGGTTACTAAGACATGATGGGGAGCTGGAATGCAGTATCTGGAAGGTCCATCCATTTTAGCACCTGTAAGTTCAGAAAACAGGAAGCAAAAGTTTGGCAAGTTTTAAATTCAGTTCACCAATGGCTTATACATCTTTGAGGAACGTGGCAAGAACAGCCACACAAAATAATCTCTAAAAGTAGAACTATCTAAACTAACATAAAGGAGCTCTTCCTACTCCTCCATCCCAGAATGGAGGGGCCCCACAAAATTCTGACCCACCTAAGCTATTTTGTCTGCTGACAATTCCATATAAAAAGGTTCTTCAAAAAGATGATATTTTAGGAGTGGTGGTAGTGGTGAAGAAATGACACACACCTAGTTATGAGTGCTCTCACAGAGCCATGTCAATTTCAGCTATAGAAAAAAAATCTCCATCAATTTTCACATTTAATATTTTTTAACTTAGACCTAAGGATTGAATGGCATTTTAAAGACAAAAGCCATGTTTTTTTAATAGTATAATAAAAATACGCCGATGGCATTAAATTTTAGAAATTTCTTATTTGCAAACAAGATTATGAATATAGCATACTATAGAGGATGGCCACAGACAACCAGAATAATAAAGTAACTTACAGCTGGAATCCAAGTCTACCCAGTATAGGAATCTGTGCTTTACAAAACACCAATATTTCAAGAAAACAGGGATAAATGCCAACTCTGGATTGTCTTCAAATGCAATAGCCCTGAGTGTTAAAAGGGAAAATAGTTCCTGAAACAGAACCATGCTTAGGTCAATATATGACAATGTTCAACCAACTATTTCAAGGAAATTGAATTAATGCATATCAGCCAATAATTTTCTTTCACTGTTGTCAATAGATATAAAACATTCACTTGAACTAACCTGCAACTATACATTGGAAGTAGTCTCTCCATAGTTAAATGATATGCAACTAGACCTTTCATACTGCACTCCTCCTTCACATCAAGTATCAGGTGGCTAAAATGTAGAAGGTGCTGCCAGTGGATAGCAAAGTACTGATACTTTAATTGGATAAAGTCACTCTTGACTATTACTTCCGCTGTTGTTTTCCCCTTGAAAAACAGGTCAGTTTAGCACCCTAATCTTGTTATAAGATGTTTTAATTTATGCTGTCCGAACACCCTGAGCACACTTGCATATCATACTTAAAAGTTTTTGTCAGTCATCATCTGGTCTTAAAAAATCTACTCCGTATCATCCTAACCAGAAGAATGGGCCCTTGTGCTGTGGGTAGCACATACCATGTTTTCAGCTGTGACTATGTAAGATACGCCCTCAACTGGTTTAGTTATTTGGAGGAACAATAATTAAAGTGACTCATGATCAGGGTCAGGCAGCCTTATGGTCTGGGTGGCTCTTTAGTTTGTGGAACTTGACACTGTCCAGCTTCTCAAAACGTTTGTCACAGTACTCGCAAGTAAAGTTGTATTGGACTTCTGAAGTATGCTTCTTCATATGCCAGTTGAGAGAAGACCTCTGACGGCATTGATAGCCACAAATCTCACACCTGTGGAGAGAAAGAGTCGTCATTCCTTTATACTCCAATCTAGAAACCAGGAAAGCACCCACAGCCCCAATCACTACCAATAAACTATTCAGCATCTACTACCATAATCAAGCGGAGTATGTATTTCAATTTATCTACTTTTCCTATCAAGTACTGAAAGTAGCTTTTCTTAGTACAATTGTAATTAATAATTGCATAATTACAAAACTTTTTTTAAAAAAATGGTTAGATATGATCAGCCAGATTGAGTGCTGGCCAACTTGCACAAAGAAGGCAAAGCAAGCAGGCTCCAAAGACCTCGCCCTGTTGCTCTCATCTTGGAGGGTGGCTCAGCCCAGTCTTTCTTGTCATGCCCCAGGTCACTCACTGGAGAGGGGTCTCTCCAGTATGTGTTCGACGATGAACTTCCAGATGGTTCTTCCGCTTGAAGGATTTTCCACAAGTTTCACAGGTAAATTCACGGACTCCTGGGAAGATACAGGAATAAAAAAAATGAACAGCAAAACCCATCAATAGCTAACATAGGGACATTCTCTTTTCCCAAAGAAAATAGATTAGATCTAGAGACATCTCCTGAAATAACTTGCTTGAATGAGCAGCACTGCCATTAATTTAATCGAATTAAACCTTAAGACACCATACACCACTTAAAGGAATATAATATTGCTTTAAACTTAGATAAAAATAATAAAAAGAGAGTTCCAATCCCATTGGTCCATAAATTCAATATTCAAAGAAAACTAGATTTAATAAGCTTTTTATTAAAAGTTTCATAGAGCATAAAAATTAACACAAATTAATAGAGCAAAAGCACAATAGAAAGGAGAAAAAAGTAAAAGAGCAAATAGAAAGAATAATCGGTTACTATGATTTATTTATTTAAAACATTTATGTAACTGCCCACCTTATACCAAATTCTGAGTGGCTCCCAATCAAGGTTTAAAACAACATCAGTAATAAAGATTATATGTGGCCCTGTGACAGAGAGGCTTTTAAAGATGTTAATCAGCACCCTGAATTGCACCCAGGGCAAACCTAGGAACACCCTTCGCCGAGTGCAACACCTCATTCTGGAATTGTTGTTGCTTCCAGGTGGCCTTCAAAACTTACAATCCACACCGCAGTAATCCAGTGACCAGGGCATGAATGACCAAAGGACCTCCCAGTCCAGGAAAGGCCACAATCAGCACACCAGATGAATTTGTACAAAGGCCATGGCTGCCACCTGCTCCTCAAGCTGGAGCCACAAGTCTAGGAGGACCCCCAAATTTGGCACCAGCTCCAGGACTGCCAACCCATCCCGAATCAAAGATGAAATTAACACAATACTATGATTATTAAAAAAACTCCACTCTTTTCTATTATCCAGGTTATTTTTCTAATTGCAAAACCACTATCAAAAATGCATTTTGTTTTGTGCAAAAAATCTATAGAGGATTTCCAGTCAACCATAAGTGTAGTTTTTTTTTCTCAAATCAGAGAAATTAATTTAACCATCTCAGAAAATTTTATAATCTTTACCAACTATTCCTTCACTGTGAGTAGAGCTAGCCTTTCCATTTTTTGAGCACATAGTCTTACTACAGTTGTCCTCTATAGAAATAATGTTTCATGACTTTTTACCGACTTGTACCCAAAAGAAAAGTCAGAATAGTTTGGTTCTACACAACTTCTAGGAATCAATAAAAATACAAAGGGAACAGAACAACGGATGGTAATGAAATTCCCTTTTCTACACTGGATTGAGAGAATCTTGAAAACTGTTTTGTTTTGTGGGAAATGAGTCCAAATGGCTCTGAGTGTTTAAGGTTGCAGACCCCTGGGGCTACGCAGCGTGCATAGCACAGGTGATTACCTGTCTAAGCAGCAGATGGAGGCAGAGATGTGAGGGGAAGGCACGCAATCCAGACATGCCACATAGGCAAACTGAGAGGCAGTGGACCAGAGTGGGTGGCCGGCTGCAGGAGGCTCATCTCTACATCTCTCAGCTTGCCAGCAGCCCATAAAGAGCATAGAGGCCACCTGCCTTTCCCCCACCCCATGCCTCTGCCTCCTCCTGCTATGCAAAGACAAGCTTCCTGAGGCCGCCCGTCTGCTCTGACCCAATGACTCTTGGTTTCCCACAGCCCGTCCAGATCGCCTGCCTTCCCCCAACCTCTGCCTTCAACTGCCATGCGAAGACAACCTCCCATGGCCAGCCGTCTGCTCTGGCCCACCGACACTCATCTTTCCCACAGCCCGTCTGAACTGCCTGCCTCCCCACCCCTGCCTGCTGCTTGTACAAGTAATCAACTCACCTGCACTGCACAGGCTATGTCAGCCCCCGCACCCTCACAGCCTCCAGTGCTGACCACGCCCATTCCCTACCCCCATGCTAATGACAATCTTCACTAGGGCTTATTTTGGGAATAGGACTTATATTAGGCACATGCTTAAAAATCAGGCTGAGTCTTATTTTTGGGAAAACATGGAGCCTCCGAGGTGATGAAAACATATCATAAATAGAAAAACTTAGAGGTGACAATATACCTGAATGGATTATCATGTGCCTTCGGAGATGATTAGACAGGTAAAACTTTTTACCACAACCTGGGTGTGAGCACACTTTTGTTTTTCCTTTCCGATGAACAAGATTAACATGATTCTGAGGATAGAAAGAAATGAGATCAATATTGTTCCTCTAGAGCAACGGCTCCCAACCTTTTGGGTACCAGGAACTAGTTCTGTAGAGAGAGGTTTTTCCGCAGACTGGAAGGGGTATGGTTTCACATCCTGCCTGCATCCCACAGACAGGGCTTCGCTTGTTTTCACGGACCAGTTTCTGGCATGCTGTGGCCCGGTGGCAGTCCACGTACTAGGGGTTCGGAACCCTTGCTTTATTGTACAAACCAGAAAATTATACTTCTTCACAAGCACACAAATCTATAGTAATTGGAGTACGTTACTACCTGTCCTTCAACATATTTGACTTTAAAAGACAAACATGGACAAAATTATATATAATATGCCTTGGTTGCATGAAAAGTTATCTTAGGGTTTAATTAGACCATTTAGATCCTGGAGTCTAACCCAATGTTTCATGCAGGAATCCAAATTAAAGAATCCCTAGCAGAGGGCTGTCTAAATTCTGCTTGAACATACCAAAGGTTATTAGATCCACTACAAAAAAAGTAGCTCTATTAATTCTGATATTTTGCCTGACTCCCCAGCATAGAATATAATTTAGTGTCAAATTAAGACCAATAGTTCTTTTACTCTACCACCATAATTTTAATCAATCTATCAGGTCAAAGGAACTATACCTGGAAGCTACTAAGTGCTACATAGACTTGGGTGCATCCTTCATAAGGACAGTGGAACATCTCCAACATGCCATCTGCATCTATGACATGACCTCTTTTGCTCCGCCGCCTCCTAAGAGGAGAAGAAAAATTATTCAAAGGAAAACTGCTACATTATCCATAAATCTACTTCAATGTCACAAAACTATTCTATTGTATTGTGCTCTATGAAAAAAACCCCAAAGACTAAAAAAAAAGCTTCACCATTGCATCACAATAAACAGAAATTATAGAGAATCTTAAGAATACCAGTTTAAGGGCTGCAGAGAAGACTGGGAAAAAAACCCTGAGACACTCATTTCTGAAAGTCTAAGATACTTCCAGAAACTAGCACTAAATTCTGCCAAATGTTTTGTTAACCACTTAACAGTTACTGAACTTTGATCCAACAAAAATTAATTACATTTCTCTGGTTTAGATTATCACAAATACCATGCTGGACCAAGCTGAGACCCAATTATTCCAGTATTTTTTCTTACAGAGCAGCCGGGGGGAGGCGCTCAACAGAAAATCTAGATTTGCAGAACCACGCTGATTCATCTTCAGCAATATTTGCTCCTCCACAAGCCTATCTACTTTTGCATAGATTACTATTACTACAATATGTCTGCCATAAACATTAATCTGAATGGTTGTATAATTTTCTGTATTTCCCCTTGGTCCCTTTTACAGGTGCAACTGATCAGGGGTAATGATGTTTACCACTTGGTAGCAATTGTGGAAAAATAACCAGAATCTTCAAAAGTTGGACAAATTACTCTATAAAACACATAATAAACATTTCCTATTTTTCCAAGGAGTAGCATCCAATTGCTTCCCTAAATATAGAAATCTAGATGGCCGCATCTCTTTCTGCTGTTCACTCACTTTTCAGGCTCCTTTGGAATCTCATAAATAATGGATGACATGTTGTTTCCTTCCATCTCCTCCTCAGGTTCAGGCTTTGGTTCCTGCTCTCTGCTCTCAGGGGCTGGTTTTGAGTCACAGGATGTTTCTATTTCTGTTGGAGGAGGATGCCCTTCTTTTTTGAGTTTAAAGAATGCCTTTTTTTCTGTCATCAATCAGAAAGCAAAATTGTAATTCTAAATGCTGACATTCTCTATCTCAAGTTATAAAAGGATATTTGCGAAAAATCAATCACTTTTGAAATGTATTCTTTCCTAAAATATTGTGCAAGTGATTCGAGGAGAAATGGCAAACTAAATAAGCAGCTTATTGAAGATAAACCAGAAAGCCTCCATGGAAAGAAACAGAAGGCAATGTCGAACATACATCACTCCAAAAAGAAGTTTGCATCATTTCTTTACATGACTTTCACATAAAGCCAGATTTGCACATAAAACTAACAAGTGCTATCAAAAAATGAAAAACCCATAAATATTGAGATTAAAAATATGCACACACTCAAAATATACATTTTCATGTCCCAAATATAAAGATATCAAATAATCTACTTTATTTTAAAATTAACATTATCCTTGCAACAATATTAAATAGAGGCAAACCCTCCAATTCTTGATTTTCTCTATTACGGACTTTATAAGCAATTGCTGATATTACTTGTAGTTCAACTGATATGGCATGACACACAAAAAGAATCACAAAATGTGCTATTGCAAGATGAGTGAAAAAGTATAGAACAGATCTGTGTCTTAGTCCCTCAGAGGAACGCAACTTCTTCACAGATGTTGCATGTAAATTTGCATGCAACAATTTGTAGACTGGGATTCCTCCTACCCCTTCTGAATTTTAAAGCAGAGTTGGAGGCTCCTGCATTCCTTCCTCTATGGCAGAGTTCTCCAACTTTTCTGGGTTGGTGGGGGGGGGGGGGGGAGAAGAGATTTTGTGGGAGAGGCAAGTGCATGCTTGCATGCAATGTTTTTGCAAGTGGGACCATGAGAGCCCATGATGAGGTTTGTGCAAGTTGGCCGCGACATCTGCGACGAGGCTCGCCTAAGTGGAACTTAGCATGCCTGCAGAGGTGCACACATTGGCCGGCCACTCACAAGGCCCACTGGCATTTAGCCTACGGTGCAGTAGTAGGCCATGGCCCACAGGTTGGGGACCCCTGCTCTATAGCAAAAATGCTGCTCTTATACTTACAACAGTGAATTAAACCTACACATTTTAAAGCTAGATACCTGGTCATTTGAGAATAGGCAGCCAAGGTGGATGGTAGAAACTACCTTTTTTGGTTTTGATGTATTCCATATTTTCCGTGCTACTTTGCTCTCCATTCTCAGGCTCTTCTTGAGTATAAGGTGCTACATCCTCAATCATAGCACAAGGCAGCTCTTCTCCTGTGCTGGTGACATTCAGCTGGATTCCCTCTGCTGTGAGAGAATCATAACCAGGTCCAGTAATGATGATCACCTGTGAACCTTGCATCATATCTTGCACAGGGCAGCTAGCTACTACTTCTCCAAGTGTCTCTTGTGAAACGTTTTCAAACAGTGTTCCGTGACCTGAACCCATCTGCATGGGCACTGGCATGCATACCACAGCTTCCATTGTCTCTGGTCCATTGAGGGATGTATTGTGGCACATGCTAGCACTCTGTTCTTCTCGTAAGTTCTCAAATGGAATATGAATGCCATCTTGTGTGATGAGGCCACTGGTATTTTCTCCTTCTGTATTTGCTGAGGGCTGTCGAACCTGGGGTTTGTCTTTCTGATTCTCGAGCTGTTCCTCTGTCTCAGAGCTAGAGTTCTCTTCTGAAGACTCAGAGCTTCCAGCTTCAGTGCCATTGGCAACTACAAATTTCAATAAGGATCAGAAAATTAGTAGATAATTTCTTAGGAACACAGACAAACCTTACAGCCAGATACTTAACCTCCTTACCATTCCTAGCTTTATCCAGGTTTCTACACTATTCAAAATAGATAAATTAGGATATCTAAACACCTGCTGAATGACTGCTCTATTTGCTTCCATTTAAAAAGGCCTCCTCTTCACAATCATTTAAGAATTTTAGATCACTTAATAAGGCCAAAAGTGCATATTGTTGCCTTCTGTCTTCCACCATTACTCTGTGCAGAGAATAAGCATATCCAAAACTGATTTTACTGAGAAGAGATTAGGAGTTATTTATTGTTCTCTCTCCATTGTACTTCCTCAACCTCTATATAAATGAATATAAACAACAGTATTTTCTGAATGGTATTCTGCAGTCTGTAGTACGTAGTATCAGACAGACACATCAACTAGCCAAGAATACTTGTTGGAAAAACAGCATGCTATATAATCAGTGATTGTAAATATCAAGTCTGGAAAATTAATTATTTTCTGGTTGGCACTAGGAAATGTTCTAATGTGCTAGGAAATGTTCTAATGTGGCATTTAAAAATCATTCAAATCTTTTTAAAAATAACTTATTATTTGTCACAAACTATCAGAAATGACAGTTCTGGGGAAAATTATGAAAAAAACACTGGTTAAAATGGTGCAATATTACATAATTTTAATATAAATATTTAAAGATATCTTACCTTACAATATTCAATCTGAAAGGAAAATAACTGAAAACTAACATATGCTAATAAACTTTAGGAATTCTGGACTATCCATGATGTTATTTATTTCAGAAATGAATTTCTTTTAATTAATGTTCTGTTGGGACATCTCCAACTGCCCTAAAGTAAATGTGTTCACACATTTCCAAAGTTATCCCATCTTGTCTGATTTCCAAGCTCAGCTGCATTAAAGCATAATTCAGAAAACAGCTAGCTATATGATTTGCGAAAGCTACATAGAAATATTTGCTACATATTAACTGCAAAAAAAAAAAAGTCAGGTTGGAGTTTTAACATCCACTCTTACCACTGTCACATTCATTTTCAGAATCACTGAGTGGTTTAAGTGGGGAGTGTAAGTCCTGGAAATAGCGGTGCCCTGCTTCACATTGCCACACAGCTGTGGTGTACATCCCAAAGTTGGGATCCAGCTCAGAGAGATGAGGCTCATAAGGGCAGCGATTCTTGTGATCTTCATACCAGATGACGGTGTTCTTCAGGCAGTTCACATTTCGCCTTCTTCCTTGGGACATGGTAAGGATGGGAAGCAAAAAACAAAACAAAGCAAAAAAAAAGTATTTGAGAAACTTGGAACAGATGGTATGCTCTCTCTGAAAGCTAATGATGAAATCCATCTGTCTTTATATATTATGTAATTTTATGTTATTTCTATATTTAGGAAAACAACTAACCAAATGAATTTCAATTTTCAGTCAAATAGAATGTAAAAAAAGAAAACAGACCCATTTTAGGACAGCAAAACTGTAAATATGGTACACCTCAATGTATTATCATTGTTCATAATGTTCTTTATAATTAATGACAATAAAGGGTAGCATTTTGCATTTCATCAGAAGGCATACATACATGAAGTTACAGTCCATACTTTCCTTTGCAACTTCAGCACTTTGGAATAATACAAAGTCATAGAATGCCTTAGCATCACAATACCAACTACATATTTCTGATCACTACACTATGCTGAATATTTACAGCACTTGACTACTTCCTAAGATAGTTTGTACATTATTCTTTATGAGAGAGAAGTACTGTGCAGGCTGCAGGTTTTGTAAGAATAGTGTTGATATTTAGGTTCAACACTATGTATTTCTTCTCCTTTTAGAAAATGCAGTCCTTTATCCATTCTGTCTAATTTTGCACATAAGTTAAGTCTTACAAACAATTGCTTTAGCTTAGGCAATAAACTGACCTAATTGGCTATGTTCAGCCCTGAAAATTATACAGGGACCAGTATCTATCTCTCCCACATCTAGTTAACTCACAAGATTTGGAAATGTCTTACAACAGAAATCAAAACATTTGTAAATGAATAAAGAAAAATGCTGGTTCTAGTGATTATAACAATTTAATTCAATGGGATTAAAGGCAGCAGGCTGGCACATGTGCATGCAGCTTAACTCACAAGATCAGTGGAACAGCATGAACAAGTTGAGCTGTGTGTACATGTGTGAGCACCCCGCCCTGCTGCTCACACAGACTGAGCTGTGAGTGTGTGCATGCGTGCCCTCCCTGCTCACACGGCCAAGTTCCCCTTCTCATGCCAGGCCACCAAGCGCCAACAGTTGGGAATTGGTCCTTTAATGCTCATGTCAATACAAAGAGAACATTTTTAAAAAAAACCAAATAGCTAACTTAAATATGTACTTAACATTTAAATTGTGTCAATATAAGAGCTATAAATGATTTTAATCTCTATTGATACTTTAAAAAACAAAGCAATGTAATTTCAGGAAGTCAATAATGATATATTATGAGAATATGAAGATTTTTTTAGTATATACATTTTGGCATTTTTAGTGTTAAAAATAATTGAACCACTTATATGAAATTAAACTGTAATGAATGTTGAACAGTTTCAGTGTTATTTATTGTGGTCAAATGTAGCATAATCAATAAACAAAGTTATAAGTTATAATATGCCCTTTGATGTCTTGATTCTTTTTTATAGGAGTAAAGGTGATTATAGTCAAGAAAAAAATTAACTGATTTTTAGCTGCAAATATTAAACAAACAAAACATAGAGAACATTAGATGCAACAAAACCAATAAACCAGATTGGGCTATAGATGGGAGAATTTTAAACTAATAGGAGACAAGTGAAAATTAGAAGACGTTGGAATTCGGCAGCTACAATAAATTTGCACAAATATTTCTGAAATCATTACATAGATAAGTGAAGATTCTTATACCAGGGATTTATGCTAATAATTATATATGTTCAATCAAATTTTCTGAGATTTACTTTGTAAAGACGTACTGAAAATTTATGTATCACTGTAAATTCATTCCAGACTTTCTTCTTGATTTCTTTATACTTTGTAGCATTCAGCTTTTTAATGTTTTTTTAAATTTAAAAACTGATAGCAATTGATTGTCTGCATTTTAGAGTAGAATAAAATCTGACATATGAATGCATAGATTACACTTACTTTTCTTTTGCTGTGGTTCATAAGGGATCTGCTCCCATGGTTTTCTGCAAGTAAAGATGGTACCATATCATGGTATGCATGTAGATTTCCAGAATGCTAGGACTTGTTTGCCAAAGGAAAGTCTCAGCCAAAGGAGGTACTAAAAGCCTTTGAAAAACTTCTTCTAATATAATATTTCAATAAGACTGTCATTCACAGAAAGTAATGATAAGAAATAAGGAAATTGTGCTTATGAAGACACCTAGTTTATATCCTAATAATCAGCACTCTCTTTTCTAACAGCCTCTACAACTCAAACAACTCAAAACAGAATTCAAAGGTGCTCTTAGTTTGTCAGTTAGAGAAAATACAGCCAATGAGCAAACAAAGAGTCTATCTATAACAGTAATCCACTATTACTTGGTCTGGTATAATTTCCAAGTCATCTTGCATAGTAACATGGATTAGTCTCCAAATTTCAGTTTTCAGACCTATATATATTATCAGAGAATACATGCATGCATTACAAACTAAACTAAGCATATGACTAAACATTTTTAGGAAATGTTTTAAAAGATTTGATAAATAATTACTGGCAGCACAAATATAGTGAGGATGAATAGTTATGGAGGATGCAATATTCAAACGTGACAGTCAAATTATATTACTACATTTGAAAACAGCCATATAAGTACCTCCCTGATGATAATGGGGGGAAAAATAGAATGGTTCTAGTCTAGTCTGCCAGGCCTGTTTCCAACTACCCATTTCTAAATGACAAGATGACATAAGATGCCTATTTGTAGAATTAACCATCTCATCCTCCTTTTGTCAAATGCCTTGAAATCCAGAGTGATATTTTCCCGAATTCGAAGGTACCCAGGGAGCGGAGGACTAACTGGAAATCGCGCCTACGCTGATCTCCAAAACGCCGGGCAGTTTTGCTGCTGGCAAAACCGCCCCCCCCCATCCCCACGCGCAGAAAAAGGCCTCGTGTCTGTCTGTCTGTCTGTCTCTCTCTCTCTCTCCGTGTTCGTGTTTTTGGAGAACCCTTCATACCTTTGGCCTGCTTCGCAATTGGCCCTCGGGAGGCCTCCGGGGCGCATGCGGCTGAATTCTTCCCCCCTTACCCCCTCCCCACCTTCGCATTAACCGTCTAGCCATCTCCTCCCTCTCAGCCCCTGCTGCCGACTCTCACCCGCGGCGCCCGGCCCGCTGTTCTCGTTCCAGTTCCAGTAAATAAGCCGCCAGCTTGGCGTCACTCCAGCCACTTTGCTGCCTCAGGTCCACCCACGAGCCGTGAGACTCGCCCAGGTAGACTCGCCGCTCGTCGTATTTCTTGCGGGATTCGAGGCGTCGTCGTACCCGGTCAGACTCGGTGAGGCGCGGCCTACCCCGGGCTTTCCGCCCACCACGAACCTTCCGCCCACCCGGCGCAGTCTCGGCATCCACATCCCCAGCAGCGACCTCTTCTTCCTCCTCTTCCCCTTCTTCCTCGGGCTCCCCACCATCCTCCTCACCTGGGGCTGGGCCGCGCTCCGAACCATTCATCCCTGCTTCATAACCAGGGAACCCGCCTCTCGCGAAACCTGGTCGTTCGTTAGGAGCGCGCCCTAGTGACGTCACGGGGCGACCGAGCCCAAGGGGGAAGGGAATTTTGGCCCTAAAGTCTCTTCCGGGTCGCAGGTAATCGAATCCAGATTCTGGAATGTGTATTTTGGCAGGCGGGAGCACCCCCGTTAGAAAAAAGAAAAGTGCAACATGCTTACCTGTGGTAGGACTATTAAACAAGTTGCAAGGGCAACGATAGCGAAAAGTTGTGTTTTTTTTCTCTCTCTCCTGCCTTCTAGTAGTCGGTGATCCTCTGGATTTTCAAAGTTCGAATTGAATGGCTCTGCCTGAAAATGAGCATCCTGCCTTTTGGTGGGGAGGTTTTCCCTCTTGATCCTCTCACGTAACTATTGCCATAACTCTCATCTATGTATATGGAAAGCTCTTCAAATTTCTTCATTTAGATAAGTAAGAAAGTCTTTGTTGTTTGCTGTTCAGTCGTTCAGCCACTGCTGCCAGGACTGTCCTCAATAGCTGCTCTTATGAGAATTCTTGTGAGCTTCAGCTAGGCCTTCAGTCTAATCATAACTTAGAAGTCTGTCACAAATAGATTTATAAATTAGATTGCATATATCTTCAAGTTTTTTTAAAAAGTTTGATTTTATGTCTTGCAGAATTAATTACCAAAAGGGGACAAAAGAAAGGCTAAAACTACTGTTAAAACTAAACTCTTAAGGGCATTTCCGGATCCCTCCATAAGTGGATTACTGCGTTCCTGTCAAACAGGCAACAAAAAGTAAAAATAGGGAGTGCTATATCAAACCCTGCTCCAGTTAACAGTGGTGTCCCCCAAGGCAGCATTCTTGGACCCACACTCTTTAGCCTCTATATAAATTACCTTTGCGGTCACCTTATAAGCAACTGCATCCTCTTTGTGGATGACTTAAAACTATTCAACACCACTGACAATGCTACTATCCTTCAAAGCGACCTTGATTATGTGTTAGAATGGTCCAAATCTCGACCAACAAATGCTCTGTCCTACACATTGATAAAAAAAAAATCAGTACACCAAATACAAACTAGGAGGATATGACCTTGTTGATAATCCTCTCTGTCAAGGACCTTGGAATTCTCATATCAAATGACCTAAGTGCCACAGCTCACTGTAACAGCATTGCCAAAAAGGCATTAAGGGTTGTAAATCTAATCTTACGAAGCGTCTCCTCCGGAAATATCGAATTGCTAACTAGAGCATACAAAACATTTCCCAGACCAATACTCGAATACAGCTCATCAGTCTGGAATCCGCACTGCATATCAGATAATACAATTGAGCAAATCCAGAAGTATTTCACGAGAAAAGTACTACACTCCTCTGCTCGCAACAGAATACCCTATATCACCAGGCTTGAGATTTTGGGCTTGGACAACCTTGAACTACACCACCTAGCGTAGCACACAAAATTATCTGCTACAATGTCCTACCAGTCAATGACTACTTCAGCTTCAACCACAACAATACAAGAGCACACAACAGATACAAACTCAATGTAAACCACTTCAAACTTGATTACAGAAAGTACGACTTCAGCAACAGAGTGGTCAATGCCTGGAATGCACTACCTGACTCTGTTGCTCTGTTGTTACATCCTCTAACCCCCACTCCTTTAACTTCAAACTAACCACTATTGACTTTATCCCATTCCTAAGAGGTCTATAAGGGGCGTGCGCAAGTGCACCATCATGCCTACCGTCCCTGTCCTATTGTCCCCATTTATTTGTACCTATTTCCTGTATTCTTACTCATGTTTATACTTATATCTATTACTTTGTAAGCAATTGACAAATCAAATCAAATAAATAAATACCTTAGTCATGTGCCTATAAAATTTAAAGTCAAAAAGTTGCATCACAGAAATTGTTTCATTTTTTTCACATTTGCTTTTTTTACTGTCAGTAAAGCAATACAGGTAGTAAGAATACTCTCATGCAGATTTTTTTTTGGGGGGGGGGGGGTTGCCAAGTGAAGTGCCCTCGAGAAAATAGTTGGTGGAAGCAGAAACTTCCAATACTTACTTCAAGGAGGCAAGGTCCATATAACAACAGGGATTCTCGAAGAGGAGACCAGTATGAACGTTAAGCCTAAATTTGAGCTTGGACTGGATTCAATTCCCTACCTCAAATCATGTTATAGGAGCAATCAGCCTGTTTATAAGCAAACTGCTTATTACTCAGTATTTTCTGTAAATAAAATACCTATTCATTGAAAAAGTTCCAACAAATAGCAATATGGATTCTACATTCTCAGGATCACATTCAGAAATAAAATGTTAGTATATTAACGGAAAACTATTTTAAAAGAAATCAGAAGCCAGAAGTACGAAGTAATTAAATTATAGAGCTGGAAAGGCTCTAATTCACATGGTATTTTTAACTCTGTTATTGGGAATAAGCATGTTATGCAAACCATAAAATTGAATTGACTCAGCTGATTAACTATGAGGGTATTAGTTTAACTTGGGGTGTCTGGGTCTAAACTACTGACTGAGACTTGAAATCACTGGTTTAATTCTGTTATACGAATAGAACCTAAAAAAAATGTGACATTGGCAGCAAGAGATGTTTCCTAGTATCAGCTGTCTTTCTTCTGCATGACATATGGAGGATCTTAGGTCTGAAATGGGACAACTTGCCGTGGCAAACTTGCCACGATCAACTAGTCGTCACAAGCTTGCTGCTACCACTCACCTCAGGACAACATGTTTAACTCGCCTTGGCGACAACTCCCTGCAGGAGCTGGTCAAGCAGGTGGGCAGTGTGTGGGGGGTGCGGTAAGAGGATGGAGTACAGCAGCAGCAGTAACAACAGCAGCTGCCTGCCACCCCCCAAGCTGGTCAGCCAGTGCTCAACACAAACTGGTGCAGGCCGCCATGAAACTGCCCAGAGCATCCCTCCCTCTGCTCAGCACATCTGATATCACTATGGCAATGCTAGCACCCGATGCTGCCCTCTCTGGGCTCTATGTGGAAGAGGCCAGGGATGGCAGAAGCAGGCAATGAGGCAGATGAGTGTCACAGGCATTGCCATGATCAGATCAGATGTGCCGGGGAAAGGGGTGCTGACTTGCACCCTGTGCCAACTTGTTCTGGCCGATGGGCGGTGGTGATGGCTGCTGTTGCTACTTCTGCTAGTGGTATGGTCCATTCTCTTGCCACACCTCGCATGCTCTGCTCACGCACTTGGCTCGTCCTCGGCTGCCTGCCAAGTCCATTATCTAGCCGTGCACTATGCCCACCCACTCACTTGCTCACCCACCTGGCTCTCCCTCCAAATGCCTGTGCAGTCCATCCTCTCACTGTACCTCGCACTCTGGCCACTTGTTCACTTGCCAGCTCCTGTGGTCAGTTGTTGCCATGGCAAGTTAACCATGGCAGCTATTTGGCTACTACGAATTGTCCTAAACCCTCTTAGGTCCAAATACCATTTAGATTCCTTCAGTTGATGCGTATATTGTTCCTGTGTTTTGTTATGAAAATTCTGTATTCTCTGTTCCACTATATACTACTGTAGGGATGGGGGGGAGCAAGCCTTGTTTTACTTGTGACCATCTTGGGTTTAGAAAAGTACAAGCCTATCACTTTCTTTTCTTCCTTCTTGTTCCTTGGATCTCTCTCCTTCCTTTTCCACTTCCGCATACCAGTGCATCCTCAACTTTGGTGGATATTTCCTCTATCGCTGAGGTTAATTCACTCAGATGGAGCTCCACAGAGACCATTTTTTTCTGATCACAAACATACAAGTAATCCTTTCCAATCCTTCCTTTTTATACTCCAGACTGTTAAATGCTGTATCTGAATACTGTGAATCATTGTAGCCCATTTTTGTTGGTAATAATTCATCTTGACTACAAATGGTGATCAGAATATGCCACTTCCATTGTTCCTGTAATTGCCTTTATTTGTATTGTCCTATTGATTTTAAAGCTTACCTATTATAAAAAGTCTGTGTGTCTATCAAAATGATGTAGGGAAGGAAGATGTAGCAAATACCTGTACTACATTTCTTCCAGTTTTGGGATCAAGAGTTCTTGCTTTTCACTCTCTGCAAAGGATGGTACTTTTCTTAATAGTCCTTAACATCCCACCAAGAATTACCAGTTAATATGGATAGGAAGAAGGCTTATTGGCCCTAACAAAGTCCTCCTCCTTTCTGTCCACTTAATCAAAGGGACAGAACCCCCCCCCCCTTAAAATGACAAACTGCATTTCATAAGGATTCTAGACAACTTTCCCCCAGTAAGCATATAGTTTAAAACTCTTTTGCAGTACAAGGTAAACCTTCAAATACAACTACAAGTTACAATATCATCAATGGTGTCTTCTATGGATAGATTATTTCCAAAAGAAATAACGGATGTGAGAGAGAATATCTGGGAACATACACAGGATAAAGAGCTGAATGTCAGCGTTCCAAGTCAACCCTCCAAACAATTCAGAACTCTGAGACAGATGTTGAGACTTTGGAAAAAGTTCAGAAAAGAGCAACTAAGATGATCAAAGACCTGGAGACTAAACCATATGAAGAATGGCTGCAGCATTTGGGTTTGGCTAGTCTAAGGAAAAGAATAATTAGGGGGCGACGTGATGGTAGTATTCCAGTATTTGAGGGGCTGCCACAAAGAAGAGGGCAGGACAAGAAACAATGTTTGGAAACTAATCAAAGAGAAAAGCAACATGGAATTAAGGAGAAACTTCCTAACAGTGAGGACAATTATTCAATGGAACAGCTTGCCTGCAGAAATCATGGACGGTCTATCACCAGATGTTTTTAAAAATGTCTAGACCAGGGATGTCAAATCCATGTCACAGTGGTACTTTTTCCCCTCTTTGTTAAACTGAGCATGGGCTTGGCCAGCGCATGATGCATCTCGCTTGTAGCTGGGAATTTGACAGCCATGGTCTAGACAGTCACTTATCTGAAATAGTATAGGTTCTCCTGCTTGGGCAGGGGGCTGAAGACTTCCAAGGTT